CCACTTTACAGGGCTAATCCTGTAAGGAAAGCAGGAAGGAAACATTCTGGTGTTGTTTCTAGCCTAATCTTTATTGCCCTGCTTACAGAAACTGCTTCTCCGGTTAACCCTTATTACATTGTAACACATAAGGCGAAGCGCCCATCGATGTGAGTGACGTTGAGTTGGCCACGCCCACCCAGTCACAAGACCACCGAGCCACACCTACACAGCTGGTCATTAGGGCAGAGGCCCTCCGGAGGCTGGAAACGGCCCGTTTTTCGACTTCTGGTGGGCCCAGAAGGTCTGTTTTTTTGCCCTCCCCAGGCTCCAGAGGCTTTCTAGGAGGCTGGGGAGGGCGAAAACAGCCTCTGCTGCCCCCCAGAGGCACTCCAGAGACCAGAAACGGCCCATTTTCCGACATTTCCCTAACTTCCGGTTTGTGCGTTGGGCCATTTTTTGCCCTCTGGAGTGCCTCTGGGGGGCAGTGGAGGCTGTTTTCACCCTCCCCAGCCTCGTAGAAAGCCTCTGGAGCCTGGGGAGGGCAAAAAAAAGCCCAACGCACAAACTGGAAGTTTGGGAATGGACTTCTGGGTTGCCCATAGGGCCATTTTACTGTCTCAGGAGGCTTCAGCTGAAGCAGCCGAAAAACAGCTGAAAATGAAGGCCAAAATCAGCTGGCCAGAGCGTGCATGCGTGCTGGAGCTGTCAGGGCAATGCCTCACGTGCCCTAAGAAATGGCTCTGTGTGCCACCTGTGGCACATGTGCCATAGGTTCGCCATCATGGGTATAGGGTCTCGTGCTTGAGCAGGGGTTGGACTAGAAAACCTCCAAGGTCCCTTCCAACTCTATTATTCTTTATAAACCTCTCCATTCAGTCTTACCAAGAGAATGGTGTTAAACAATACTTGGAAACGTACATCAGGTCTTATGATAGCAAAATCTCATCTTATTGGCTAGTATCAAGGGGAAGATGACTTTGAAAAAGCTTCCTCTCTCAACATAACATGCAAGACGAGAAGACTGGTTGGGAGGGGAGGGGTGAGGAAAGGCCAGGCCAGGCGCCCCTAGATGTGAGTGACATTGAGTTGGCCACACCCACCCAGTCACATGACCACCCAGCCACGCCCCCCCCCCCAAAGTAGTCATTAGGGCAGAGAACTGGTTACATTATTTGAATCCCACCACTGGCCCTATATACCAAAATGAAATTCAATGGAGAAAAAAGTGAGGGTTTACACTTAAGGAAGAAAAATGAAATGTACGGGTGCAGATTAGGTAAAACCTGGCTCAATAGCAGTAACTGCAAGAGGGATCTTGGAGTCTTAGTAGACAGTCACTTAAATATCAGTCAGCAGTGTGCTGGAGCCACCAAAAAACCCCAACACAGTCCTAGGCCCGCATTAACAGAGGGATAGAATCAAGATCACGTGAAGTGTTAGTACCACTTTATAATGCCTTATTAAGACCACACTTGGAATATTGAATTCAGTTTTGGTCACCACGATGTAAAAAAGATGTTGAGATTCTAGAAAGAGTGCAGAGAAGGGCAACAAAGATGATTAGGGGGTTGGAGGCTAAAACATATGATGAATGGTTACAGGAATTGGATATGCCTAGTTAATAGAAGGACTAGGGGCGACATGATAGCAGTGTTCCAATATTTGAGCAGCTGCCACAAAGAATAGGAAGTCAACCAGTGGTGGTATTCAGCAGGTTCACCCGAACTGTTAGTTAATTGCACGTGCAGTTCGGAGAACAGGCTGAAAATAAAGCACAAGAGAGGTTTTTTCCCTTCTCTTTCCCTTCAGTTAATAGCTCCAGGCAGACAGCCAAGAACCACTTAACAGGGTACTTAGTTTCAGCTGGAATGCAGCCACACATGACTTAAATAAAGTCAATAAATAACAGAAATTGACAGGATTAGGGCAGGGAAACACCCAGGAAACCCATCAATCACCCATCTAGGGATGGGATTAACCTCTTCCCGTCAGGAAGGACAACATTACAAACATTTTCATTATAGAGAGTATTAAGTAACACTTCTGTGATCAGCTGATATTCCTTGGAGTTTCCCAAGACCTTTTATAGCTGCTGCAGTGTTGGCTACTTCTTGTTTCTTCCTGGGGGGAAAGATACAAGCTGCATTGACCAAGGATTCTCTGAGCTATTCCAGTGGTCAACAACTGATCCATTCAGCAAATTACTAGAGAGGACCTTATCTGGCTTATTTCCTCATCTTTCCAACTGGAGATTTAAGGAGCTTGCACACCAACACTTCTACATGCAAACCCTGTGCTTGACAACCAGGCAATGAGTCTTCCCAAGTGGTCTCCCTTTTGGTCCTTTGGGTGTGCACTGTAGAATATGCAATAGATACAGAATAAAAAAGGTGACTTAATCGACCTGAATTACATTTTAACACATTAAAGATTGAAGAAATTAACTTAAAGTAAAATGATACAAATAGCAAGATTATGATAGTTCTCACTTAAGTTGGGTTGATAGGGTTACTTGCACAGGAAGCAGGGCATATAGAGGTCAAGCACCCAATGGGACATGACCCCTCTTCCCTAAACTGTAGGCTGGGACATGAGTATGAGCCTTATGCCCACATATCAAAGAGAAACCTTTAGGTAAAAATAAAAGGGTGGAGGCATCGGTGATATTGTAGATTGTTTTCACAGGTAAAAACACAGTTGGAGAGCAGTGGATGTTTATGTTTCTTGAAATTAGTGAAATATACACTCTGAGTACACCTAAAAGATTCATGATTGCTGCCCTCTGTTTGTTCATGATTTTTGTTGTGGTTGTGGTTCCAAGGAGGAGTACTCTCTAGAAAATCTTGCTTAGAGGTCAATACACACCAAGCAATCATTTTAGAATAATACTTATCAGAAAAAAGTGAGAACAGCGAACATGCTTTATTGAGAAATTGATACACTGGTAACATATTCTAAAATATCCAGGAAAACAGTTTTGCTTCTGTACAAGAACAGCCAGCCTCCTTTTGGTACAAAAGAGAGCATCATCCCATTTGCAATAATCTAGAACCTGAGGACAATTGCCAGAAAATGTGCAGAGAAACAGAAATTGTGACAGATTGAGGATAGCAATAAAAAGGCAAAACCAAACACTGGAGCAGACAGGAATTCTTGTGTAGGAATCCTTGCTGGAGATGAAGTGTCTTTTCATTTTTCCCCCAAGATGAGAGACAAGAGGACAATATTTTTTTAAAATAACATCCAGTTGAAAACAGGTTGTATGTCATGCAGATGTCTACTGTTGACAATTGCACACTAGGCAGAAATGAAAAGCATAGCATATGGACAATTATATCTCCAGGATGCTTCATCAGGAAGTATGTCACCAAGCATTACCATTAAAAACTATACTCCTTATTCCTCCTT